ATTGGAAACATACTTCTTCCTCTCAATACAAAATTTATCATCCAATCGATATACTACATTAAAACATCGATTGGGAAAATGAAGCACATGAAAGATCATCCCATGCCAGAATAAGTTAGATCATCCCATGCCAGAATAAGTTATTAATATAACAGAACATGTTACCTTAAACTTATGTGAGGCTAGTGCTTCACTATCTCTTACTAAAGAGAGAGTACAAGCCTTATGAGAGAGAGAGAAAGCTCACTATTTTCATCGAAAACCCAAAGCCTCACCCCAAAACTTTCATTTCTCTCACTCTCTGTTTTTCTTTCCACCCATACCTCTCCTCCATCTCATTGCTTTCTCTCTCATCCCAAAAGCCCTTATATATGAGTTAAACAATATTTTAATAGCTTGAAAGAGAGGTGGCAAGAGGAGAGAGAGTAGGAGGGACAAGTGGTGAGAGAGGAGTGCCAAATAGAGGGGGGAAGAGAGGGGTGAGGTAAGGTGCATTAACAGCATATGAGGAGAAGAGTAAAAAGATGGGAAAAGGGAATAGTGGTCCTACAAGACCACAAAGAGCTAAATAAAATAGCAGACAAATAATATTGTTTTGAAACACATATTTAGCAAAAAGCTAACAATCCCCCACCTATTTCAAAACAACAGATCTCTCTTTGAACATATCAAGAAAGATGAATGCATAAGTGAAGGTATCTTTTAGACTTGAACATCCATGTGGTGTTATGCCAAATGCTTATCGAGACAGTGAGTGGACACAAACTATGTCTTTTATTGATAAGCCTCCCACATATCGCACATTTACTTTCAAAAACTATGGTTTTCTAAAAAGCTTGTGCATTTAAAGGCCCTGCGCCGATCCTGTTTTCATGAGCGCTCTAGAGAATGCCCAATTCCCATAGGAAGCGGCCTCCACTTCCACTCTCATAAGGCTCATCAAGTGTATGCAAGGCTTATCGAGCGTCTATCAAGCTCATCAAGTGTATGTAAGGCTTATCGAGCATCAATCAAGCTCATCAAGCGTAAGTAAAACTTATGGAGCATCAGTCAGGATCATCAAGGATACGTAAGGCTTATAGAGAGCATCTGTCAGGCACATCAAGTGTACATAAGGCTTATGGAGCATCAGACAGGCTCATCAAGCGTATGTAAGGCTTATCAAGTGTCTGTCAGGCTTATCAAGCGTAAGTAAGGCTTATGGAGCATTAGTCAAGCTCATCAAGCGTATGTAAGGCTTCTCGAGTGTCTGTCAAGCTTGTTAAGCGTAAGGCTTATGGAGCGTCAGTCAAGCTCATCAAGCGTATGTAAGGCTTATCGAGCATCTATCGGGCTCATCAAGCATAAGTCAGACTCTCTATCGACTGTCAGTCATGCTATTTATCGACCGTAAGTCACGTTATCGACTGTAGGTCAGACAATCAACTGTAAGTCATATTATAGACTGTAAGTCATGCTATTGACTGTAAGTCATGCTATTGACTGTAAGTCAAGTTATCGACCGTAAGTTAGGTTATCGACCGTAAGTCACGCCATGGACTGTAGATCAGACTATGGACTGTACGTCAGATTATGGACTATACGTCAGGCTATCTACTATAAGTCAAGTTATCGACCGTAAGTCACGCTATCGACCATAGGTCAGACTATCGATTGTAAGTCAGATTATGGACTGTAAGTCAAGTTATCGACTGTAAGTCAAGGTATCGACCGTAAGTCACGCTATCGACTACAGTCAGACTATCGACTAGAAGTCAGATTATGGACTGTAAGTCAAGTTATCGATTGTAAGTCAAGTTATCGACCGTAACTCACGCTATCGACTATCAGTCAGACTATCGACTAGAAGTTAGATTATGGATTGGAATTTAGACTCTTTTGAGTGTGCAACTCAAGGACTCATGAATTAATTTTCGATCTGGTTATATCCTAGAAATGTACTCGTCAGGGCCCGTTTGCACCTTAGACTTTTTTTGAGATGGGGGCATTTAACACTTCGAAGACAGCGAGAGCATCTCGTGCTTCCAGATCCCCTAAAACTTGGTCCCGATTATTTGGGCATTCATGTCTATTGTGATGTCTTGTAAAACGTGGTGAGACCACCAAAATCTAACATGCCACATGTATAAGAAAAGATCGAAAAAAAAAGAGATCAGTAAACTTCAAAACTGAGGTATAAAGTCGCTAGCAAAAAATTCGTATTCCACAAAACAAACCAAAAATGTTTTCACCCGACCCAAGCTTCACACATCTTGGCTATTGATTTCCCATCCAAGAATCACCAAAATATTGATGAGAAAAGGTTATAGATGCCTAAGATTTTAATCAGGTTGAGTTACATCTCAGTGTTCCAAGTAACATATCATCCCTCATCAATGTTCAAGAAAATGGAAATGGGCGTCCAAGAGGTTGAGGTGCCCAACTGCCTGGGCAAGCACTATAGAAAAGTAAATGGGTCACTGGGAGGGTTTGGGTTTTATGAATTTATGATTTTGCATTACATACATATAGCCAAATAATGGAAAAAATAGCCAAATAATGGAAAAAATAGCCAAATATATATTATAAATTTATTATTTTGCATTATAAATTATAGTTAGAGCTATACATAGAGTAATATTTTCAAACATTAGCACCATAAATAGCCAAAAAGCCATAAATATATTATAATCACAAAAAATTAGCAAAAGAGGGGGTGGGGGGGAGGACACTTATGAAGTTTCATATAAATGTAAAGCTAACTAAATGAAAAAAAAAAAAAGCACAGCATAACACAACACTCACAATAAATATGAAACCTTAAACATAAACACTTGTATTTACGAACTTTTCAAAAAACTAATAGAAGTACGTTTGAATTGATCACTTTCGGTTGCCAAAAGCTGTATTTTGCAGCCAGTGTTCGCAAAATCGAACCGGAACAGTTAACCAGACATGGACCTGGAAGCGGTTTAACTGGCCTAATCGGAAAACCGGCCAATTCAACCGCTCTAACCGGGCAAGTCCCAGGCGGTAAAAAAAGTGTTGAAAACAAATAAAAAAAGATACAAAAAAAATCTATTAAAATATGAAAAGCATATAAAGAATGATTAAAATAAAACACATTCAAATGAAGTTGAAAATTAATGAAAAAAATGGATTTTAACCCTTTTTATATTTTTCAAGGGCTATTTTTTAAATTTTCTAAAAATGATGGGAAAATATAAAAGTGAGTATTAGTGACTAAAATAATTTTTAATCGTTACCATAATGTAAAGAATATTTAAAAATGCATTACAAATCAAATTCCTTATTTTTTAGCATTTGTATACATTTTTTTTGAATTTATACCGGTTTATCACCCTAACCACCCAAAACCGGAACCAGTCAGGGGCCGGTTCTGATCTAACAGGGCGATTAGCGATTAGATCGTGTGATTTTGCGAACAATGTTTGTAACATATTTAATCCTTAAAAAGTTTCCAGTGGAATGCCTTTCCATTCCGCAAGAAATCGAAAAGTACAACTTCGATTGTGATCCTTAAAATATTTCTTTTTTGAACCAAAAAAATAATTTTTGGGGGCAAAATAAGGTTATTTAGGATTTTGGGGGGCCAAAATACAATTATTTTTCCCTTTTGGCAAGGCTCATTTTCAGGCTTCATCAAAAGGGCCCTGGGCGAGTGCCCAAGCACTGGGGGTAGGGTACCCGCCCAGACAGGGCCCTAGGCCACCCCGGAACCACCGCCCCGCACTAGGACAAATATTCCCAATACCGGCTGGTAAGGCCTCCAGCTGCCTAGGCTGCTGATGTTTTGAACATAGTCCCTCGTAGACAATGTACTATCGTACAAACCACATAACTACTCATGCATAACTATCCATGCAGATGCACACCCAACACATGTAGGGATGCAACCCATGTTCATAGAGACCCATCAACAAACGCATCTTTTAAAAATTTCATAACACCAAGTGACCATAGACTTCTTGGTTAAACTCTATCAGCAATCCAATCATGGGAAAATTTAAAAATTTAACATGCAGCGAAATAGACTTCACACAAGGGAAACTATCCTAACACACGTATCTTGCAAGCATTGAGATTTTGTTCTACTAGTTGCAAAGTTTTGGGAGTTTACATAACATTAGTTACAAGAACTGCTTAGAAAAATCTCTTAGAGACGTGGTAAGGTGTGAATCCATCAAACGGAACAGTTTCTTTGGGAGAGCGAAATTAACACAAGTTTGAGTTCCTACAAGGCTGCAACTGAGTTTCTAATGTTAAACGTGATACTATGTAGCTTAATGTACGTATCTTTATTCATTAAAGAAAGCCTTACAACTATTCTTTGTCGGCAGTTTTTAATAGTACAGCACATTCGTCTTAAACGAATGAAATAATAACTCTTAGATGATTGACTCATTCTTCAATCGTTTGTGCATGCTATAAGTCATTGTAGACGTGGTTGTGTTGCTAAACAGTTTCATTTCATAATTCAGTATGTATTTGAGGATCCTAAAAGAGTCTATTTTTCAATTGAAATAGATCATACATTCATTATGAATGTTTTGTGCACAACAACGAAATAAATATGTGAGAAATTAAACAATAGTAGTTCTGCTCAAGATAGACAATTGTAACTTGTTTGCAATAGAGTATAGGGTAGTTAAGCAAGAACTTTAAAAAGCAACGACAGTGATTCTTTTCATTTCCATGCTGATTTCCTACGTGTTCATTGAATTACCCAAGGAGACACGGTAATATCAAAAGAGCCACTATCAGCTGACATTCGAGGACTACGGCACATGATGAGATAAACAAAATAATCGATGACTAAATTCCTGAAATTGGGCGTCCAAATCCTATGCAATCTTGTTATTCACTGATCTATATGAGTTTATGTACCAGCAAGGACTAATAGTCAGCAAACCCATCAAAAGAACAGAAAAGACAAAAGATTAATTAGTTTAGTAAGATTAAAGATCTATGCATCATATAGTCAGAAGATACCGAGAGACCTTTGAGAAGAACTTTTGAGCATGGCTTCTAATCTGCACTGCGGTCTTTGTACCAATATGCTCTGTGTCCCATGAAAGATGAGAAGAAACAACAGGCTACCAAGTAAGGAAATCATGCATTGATATAAGGAGCACATTTCCCTTTAAATTGTTAATTGTTTGGATACATATTGATTAAAATCACTGTCAGCTAACAATTAACCTTCGATACGCTGCCACGCCCGACCATAGAGTTTCAGAGCCTCCAAGAACCGGTCGTGCTCTTCCTCTGTCCATCTCTCCCTCTGCTTTGTAATTGTATAGGGTTTTCTCGTCTGGATGAAGTTAAGAGTTTTTTAAGATTGGAAAAGAAAAGAATTTTCTTAAATAATCTAAGCATGCAGGAATTTAACAAGATGAGCAGTCTATGTCAACTTGAAAAGGATAAATCTTCATACCTTGACTACCAAATCTTCTCCCGGAGAATAAGTTTCCATAACCGAATTATTCGTGCATAAACCCTACACAGAAAGGACTCTCACTTTCTCTTCCCTGATCATCTCCAGGAACAATTTCCTTCGTCCATTTCTCAAAGTACAAATCTTTAAAAGACACGGCTACTAACAAAAAAGCCGCATCACTAAAACAATCTGCAAAAAAGCAAAATTGAGCAGACATTGGATCTGTTTCAAAACACAGAGTAGAATCCAGAATCAATATCGAGTATCGAAGATGATGAGGAAAAAAACTGCTTCTCGTGTATTCCTCACCAAAATCGACAGGCAATCCAACTGGAGACCAAATATAAAGAGATAAAAGAAATCAGTAACATCCACCGCTCCTCAAAACCATCACCCATCATCCATTAAAATCACATTAACCAAACCAATAGGAAACCGAATCAGAAACAAGAAAAAAAAAAAAAACAAACAAACAGAAAATTAAAGGCAAGAACCTGACTCACCTTCTGCGATCTTCATAGCCATGCCTAATAGACAAACTGTACTCAAACTTCGCACAGCTCGTCCCAGTCAGAACCACCATGACGGTCAATCAACTGAACTTACTCCTTAGATCGCAGCTCCTCTTCAACGGCAGCTCAAAGTGGACCCCCAAAACTACAATGGCGAGTTGAGAGAGAGAGAGGAAGAGTGAAACAGCGAAGGAAAGGTGTGCAGTGTGAGAGAGAGCTTATATCCAGTGAGGCTCTGCAGGCAGTGGATGACCTAAAACCAGACAGAAAATTGGAGACCGATTCTCAGCCACTACTATTTTCTCCTATTTTCTAGGGTTTTTAGTTTTGTGGAGAAAAGTGTTTTTTTTTATTGAGGCCAAAGTAGCGGCGGCCGTGCGAGATGAGATGGGCAAAGGATATGGCGACAAGTGGCGGGATATTGGTGGCTGAGATTTTTGGGGGGCAGAGGGCTGCCAGCTCAGCACTCGCTGCACTTTTGCGTGGGTGGCGAGGGGGCTTCTCGTCCACAAGTACCTTTGGGCCGCTTTTTTGGCCCTCCAACAAAACCGTAAAAAACATAGTGATACACGTGGCCATTTCTTTGGTTCACGTGCCCTTCATTGAACTTGTGGAGCACGAGTGGTAAGTAGTCCAATACTTAATTAAGGATGAAGTCTCCATAAGGCCTAGGTTTTATGAAAACCAAATAGAGCCTCACCTCAAATCCTCATCTGGAAAGCATTCTCGGCAACGAAAATTTTCATGATGGCTTTAAAATCAATTTCCAATACTGACAATAAAATTTGAAACTCAAAAAATAATACAGATTTTGTAGATCTTTGAGCACTTATTTTTAGGGCAAACTAGATGGTATAGATAATTTGTTAAAATATACACTATTTTTTAGAGTTTGAAATCCTAATTTTTTTACACAGCCATAATATTCAAGTCAAAATGATCGATGTAAAGGTTTTTCAATGTTTGAATTGCATATTATGTGAGGCTTTAGTTATTTTGATAGGATTGCAGCCCTATCAAACAAATTTTCTTTATTAATTAATAGGTTCCCGAGCCATGATTTGACAAGAGGGTTTGAAATTTGTATCTTGAGCCACAAACTTTATTCCAGATGGCATTCCCCTTATGCATGTTTCATTTGTTTTACCATTTCTTAGTTTGAACCCAGAACACTAATTTTGGGAAGTACCTCAAATTTTTCAATCTCAAATTTTGGGAACTACATAAAAACACTCTCCATAGGGCCGGCCCAGGCATGAAGCCAAGTGGCCTCAGCCCAAGTCAGCCCGGCCCTACCCTATGAGGGTTGGCCGAGCTAGATATAAGATCAATAAATAAGAAAAAACAATAAATAAAATAGGATAGGCAGGGCCGGCCCTTCCGTCCTTAGTGTCGAAGGTAGACTATATGACTGGGCAAGTCAATATCAATTAAAATATTCTATCTTTATTTTATTGTATTGTCACCCGAGTCACTTACAAAGTGTTCAAATACAATATATAAATCAAATAAGATTGTCACGAACTCTCACTTGCTTACCATTGATTAAACATGCAATGGAATATAGATAGTATAAACCAAGAGAATACCTTATACCTTGCATCAGGTTTCCTCGAAGGACTTCATAAACCCACACCGGTCATACAGGATCTTAGTTCAAAATCTCATCTCACAACCTTAAAAGCCTAGGCAAAACCACCAAAGAGCATAACATGGGATATCCTTTGACCACGGCTTAACACATAAGCATAAAGTCAAGACCTAGGGCTAGCCTATGTGGCTTGGACGTGCCACCCTTTACGGTTAGGTTTCTTTCCTAGACCCTAAACTTTAGAGAGAGAAGAAGAGAGAAGTTAAGAGAGGGGTGTGCTACCCCTTTGTGGCTCAGATGGAGAGAGTTGAGGTGTATAGAGAATGAAAATCCCATAGCTAGTTTTATAAAACAAGCTTAGGATCTCTATGGTTATGATTTTGCCATCATTATGAGATTTAATCTGAGTTTTGTTCTTGAAGACATGTGGAGTGAAGAGATTTTATCAATTCATTTATGAGATCAGTCATCATAATTAAAGGAATGAAGTTGAACCATTATCCCTCAGTTTTCATAACTTCATTCCCATCAAATATTGTGCAGAGAAAGTAATAAATCTATTCAAATTATTTTCTTACACTTTCCCTTTTGAAAGCAATCAAAATCTCTACACAAAACACTTTCCTAAAAACTCAAAACAACTCATGGCTTAATTGCCATGATAGAAATTAGAAAGGAGGTGCACCACCCATTGGTGGGCTATGTGGCCTCATGCCCCAAATATTGGTGGGTCCAATGAGCCCTAATGGGCATCCAATGATTAAAATAATAGTTTTAGATAATAAAATAATTTTATAAAGTCTCTAAATAATTAATTTTACTCTCTGATGAAAACAAATTTAGAAAAAAATGATTTTTTTATTTAAAAATTATTTTTCAAGAAAATAAAATACCTAGAGAGTTCTAAAAATTCATTTTAATTATCTGAAAATTAATTAAAACATATTTAAACATATCTAAGAAAATTCAATCGGAATTGGATCCATATAGTTAGGATTATGACAAATATAATGATGACTCATCCTCTCTAGAGACTGTATCTCATTGCACCTTCTCAAACTGACCCAACAGACCCTATGATCCACAGCCTCTCGCAGGGATTATGATTTGACTATCAAAGTCAATCAATGCTCCATTTCAACAATATGCTCCATTAGTCCTTCCACCACAATCCATTGTTGTAGGGAGTCTTCTCTTCTACACATATACACATCATACACCCTTATCCACAAAAGGCCACTTCTCGAACGGCTATCTAGTATATATGTCGTGTCATGGCAATGATGAGGATTTAGGCCATTGTCATCTCAGGTCATCCTTCACACATAGGGGTCACGTTCATGTCCCCTGGCCAATTGTCTTAGTTACAACTCGGATCTCATCAAGGGATAACCCCACTTCGAAAATCTTTATCGATTGTGTTCACATGTGCTTAGGACTATGGGTTTTTGGACATGGCATTAAACCATAACCAGTCAAAGCTTAGGTATATCTGGGTATTAAAAATACCCCATTGTCCAAATAGACCACACTCCCTCTGGAACCAACATGTCATTATATGTGTTTTCAGTATATGCTCTCATAAGGCCTTTAAATGGCAACAAAACCCAACATAGTGCCCGACCCATGGGCTGTATTTTGTGGCCCAATCACTAGGTTTTAGGGCTAGACTAAATGGGCTGGCCTTCCATCTGATTGCCACCCCTACCTAAGAATTAGTAGATAATGCTTTTCAAGAGAAAATGTTTTTGGCTTTTGAGTTCTCTAACACTCGGATCTCGCCTTCCAAAATTTTGATAGTATTTAATCGTGGAACATTGTTTTTTCGATGCACATATAAAGCACGATTTGGAAAAAAAGAATTATTGAGGTTGGTTTATGGGTTGATTAGGTTTTATCCCTAAAACTTATGGTCATAAAAATGGGATTGTATACTATGAGATCATTTATATATGTTATAAGGTCACAGTTAGTAGTAGCTATTATATGTCAAATCGGATGGCTTGGGGTATGTCACAAAGTTTGAAAAAAATTTCTTTGAACTTTGAATTTAATCAATGACATTCTCACAACTAGCTGATTTGAAATCTGATAGAAAAAATCGATTGTGACCTCCTTGTATTAAAAGTAAATGGTCTCTTATATACATTTCCCATAAAAATACTATTAGATTCGGTATGCCTGGCAATAGGTTGGGCTAGCCCGAGCCCTAGTCTCTATAGGGATAGCACAGGTCAGGCATGGCCTTAGCCTTATCAGGGCCGGGTCAGCCCAAGTCAAATGACATAAAAAAAATAATAAATAAATAAATAATATATATATATATATATATATATATATATATATATGTCACACCCCAAGAATTTACAGTACTGTTATGCTTGAGATGTGACAGACAAAACATATATACATCTATTGATAGGACAAATTTACAGTGGCGAGGTCTTACAAAGTAACAAAAGAAAGTTTAAATAAAACTACAATATCTTCCCAAAGTTGATCTTGGCGAAGACACAAATGAAACCGCAGTTATCCTGAAAAATGTTTACCATAGTTTGATGAGTTTGGCTACTCAGTAAGTGATCATCATAATCCTAAAAATAATCATGGTTGAAAGATATCAATATTTTTCCAAATGAGATCTATTAACAGAAATGCATCAACAGTTTCACTTTCAATAAATGTATACTTTAAGTACAATCCGAGTAATTGAAATGCTTATAACACTTTTAACGGCAGACAAAATTCAAAGGATTTCACAAAATACCCTACTGGCGTCCCAAGTAGGTCACCTATATACCCCATCAGCGTCCTGATGGGTCCACTTAATCCCTATCGACGTCCCAGATAGGTCCACTTAATCCC